AGAATAAACTGAGGTTGAGTAAATGACAAAAATGGAGAGTGATCTGTTGCTGTAAGAAGTGTTTTGGTAAGATACTGTACAATTTAAAAAGATGTTAATCAATAACATGTCCTAAACAAAATATGTTGACTGAGGACAAGTAACACTTGATTTATCCCAAGATATTTATCCGAAAATGTTGTGTGCTTTGTATTTTATTAAATTATCATGTTGTTATCTTAGCAACATGCTAATGTCATACTCTATTGAAATCAATTGAGAGTAGAGCTGTTTTTGAATGACGTCTATGTAGAGCATTCCAAATCAGTCACTTATAAAGTTACATTGCAGTCAGGAAGCTGAATTAGAGGGTAGCTGCCTATTTGAACCAAAGAAAGTAGCTAGAACCAAGATAACATTTGAGTGACAGAAATTACTTTCTTGATTTCCACAAAACGAGCTGTAAAATCTTTGGCTCATTATTCCAGCTTATTCAGTCCATTTAGCCATGTGGTTAATGTTTTGGAAGAGCCCTGTGCCACTACAAGCTGAAAGGACTGGAGTTTATAACATGTCCCTCTAAAGGGTAATTTAATGGGGCATCAATAAAAGCACTTAATTGCACAATCACTATTGACATCGCATTTAAACAGCCCCGCGTACTGCCGAATTACCTAATGGAGATTGGATTGGCCAACTTGCCACTTTTCAAAGTATAAATTGTGTCTGCTATTGACAGCTCATCGCTCCGAACACAGAACAGAGGAAGATTTTCACCCACATGTGGTTTGAGTCCCCTAGTAATATATTCTTAAACATAATGCTTCTGATTAAAACTAAACAATTTTTATACTTTTGTTGTTATGGCATACTAGTGATAGCTCGTCTAATTTATTCATTTTTGGAAACTTATACTGTGGCCATATACCCATAGGTCATAAAAAACATAAAAGTAGTGTACTTTGTTTATGGAATAGTTCACATACCCACACACGTTTGTTTATGTGAATTGTGGGGACTTTCAATAGACTTCTATTACTTTTATACTGACTAAATAATATGTTTGGGTACCGTTAGGGGATAAAAATAGAATTTAGTCAGTATAAAAGTTATAGAAGTCCATTTAGACAGTTGGTCCCCACAATGTCGCATAAACAAGTACACACACACACACACAAATTATCATTATTTACCTCTTCAGGTTTGATGTCAATGACGAGATTGATTAGAACTAATGATATTTGATGTTATGAAGCATTTGAGAGCTATCTTCCATAATTTCATAGTTCCAAGCAAAACTTTTCAGAATTGTTGGCATTCATTTTGATGTTTTTGCTATTGTATGGTTTAAAAAGGCTTATATGAACTACTTTTATGCTTTTAGAGAGGTTTTTTTGAAGCTTGACAGCCCTTGGTCACTGTATGCTGTTGCTATATAGAAAAGAACTTTATGAACATTCTTCAGAACATCTTATTTTTTTTGTTCCATAGAATACAGTATGTCATACAGGTTTGGAAAGACACGAGAATGAGTAATCGATAACACTTTCTGGTACAGTTTAATTTTACAGTCCTCTTCTACATGTTTGTACTATTTACTCATTACTACTTATACACTTATGTACTTATTAGTACTTACATGCAGTAACAAGGTACTAACCCTGAACCTAAATTTGAACAACCTTAACTCATATTAAGTTCAAGAAGTTAACTAATATTACTCAGTACTTTCTTATGCAAGTAGACTGTACTGTAAGTACTTAGTAAGTGTA